ATTTCCCATTATTACCCAGTATTTCTCTTTATCTCTCCATCACTTCCCACAATTTCCCCATTATTTCCCATTTCCCCCCACGATTACCCACAATTTCTCATTATTTTCCCACATTTCCCCATTATTTCCCCTTATTACCCACTATTTCTCATTATTTCTCCCTCATTTCCCATCATTTCCCACTATTTCCCCATTTTCCCCCATTACTTCCCACCATTTCCCCATTACTTCCCATTTCCCCCCATTATTACCCACAATTTCCCACTATTTCCCCACATTTCTCCTCCCCTCCACGCAGCCGCATGGGATTTTCCACTGTCTCCCCCCTGCCCCGGGGCAGAGCAGGCACTGCCCTTCCTTTTCTCACCCAACCCATTGGGCAAAGAGCCCAGAGCAGCTCCGTGGTGCCCTGCACACCGATGCACACAGACTTCCTGCCCTTTGTATGCTTCAGTTGGCATTTTCCAGCTCGGCTGCCTCCCCACGCTCCTCCCAATCCCACACCGTGCATGGGAGCGTTACCCGTAGATTTCTCCTTTTTTTTTTTCTGTAAGAAAATGGAACTCAATCCAACTTCACCCAGGAAATGAGCCCCGTGCTTTCAAGCAGACCCTACAGCTCTGGAACCAGCCCCTATGGGCTGCAACAGGAGCTGGTGCAGCTCAATGGGTTCCTTCTGCTCCCTTCTGCAAAGCTGAGCGTTGGCCAAGGATGGGCTTCTTCACGGCCACAGGATAAGGGCTGTGTTACAGAGCTCCAGCCAGGTTCCCTGTGGGGCTCAGAGGTCATCCCAGAGCTCTGGGTGCTCCTGGATGGCCCAACCCCCCAAACCAACCCCATGCCCAACGCCATCACCATGCCCAGCACCAACCTCATACCCAACACTGTCACCATGCCCAGTGCCATCACCATGCCTAAAGCCAACCTCATACCCAGCACCACCACCATAACCAAAACCATCACCATGCCCAGCACCATCATCATACCCAACACCATCACTGTGCCCAACTCCAACTCCATGCCCAACGCCAACCTCATGCCTGCAGCCCTTTGGAAGAAGAGGAGTCGGGTTTGGGTTGAGCTGAGCCCCCAGCCCTCATGGACCTGAGTGAGGAGAGCTGTTTTACAGAGTTGATTCAGGAATAGGACACACCTCTGCGTTTCTTTGGGTTCTGCACGGAATGCTCAGCGCTGCGGCGGCGAGAAATCCTGGCTGCGTGCTCCCTCCTCTGTCCATAGGGTGTAGCAGCAACTGGAGCACAGCTGAGCCCTTCTGGGGCGGGGGGAGGGATGCTCGGCGGGGACACAACGAGATGCAACAGGGATGTAGTGGGGATGCAGCTGGGATGTGCTGGGGAGCAGTAGGGATGCGGCAGGGATGCATTGGGGACGTGGTAGGGCTGTAAGGGGGAATGGAAAGAGGGGATGGAAAGAGGATACAGCAGGGATGCAGAAGAGATGAAGTAGGGATGCAGCAAGGATGTGATGGGGATGCAGATGATGGGTTGGAATGGGGATGCAGCAGGGATGCTGCAAGGATATGGTAGAGATGCACTGAGAATGCAGCAGGGATGCAGTAGGGGTGCAGCAGAGATGCAACAGAGACACAGCAGGGAGGAAGTAGGGATGCATGCGGACCAGTTAGCAACAGCCAGCCTTAAAAACAGGAACAACTTAAAGGTCAACCATAGCTTTCAGGTCACATTCTTCAAACTGGCTTCAACAGTCTCCTTCAGCTCTGGCAGCCACACAATATGGCATCAGCAAATATTTGCCACCAACCTCAGCCACGGACTGCGCCGGGCTTATCTCACTGTAGTCACACCTCAATGCCATGTTTTATTCCCATTAATACTCCATCATAGTGCTAATTAACAGGGCTGCACTGCCAGCTGGCAGCTGGTGAGTGTTTCCCTTCCCATTGCTCACAACGCTCCTTCTTGGTTCCATGCACAACACCGTGGGCTTTAGATGTGTAAAATATCAAATGTTCATTGTATTTCGTTGCTGTTCTGTATTATCCGTGGTTGCCTTGGCATCCTCCAGTCCAAAAAGCCAATCTCAGCCTGCTGGGAAATGGGCAGACCCAACTAGGCACAACCTGACCCCAAGATAAGGGGTAGAAAACCAAGCACATGGGAACATATTTTCCTGCTGTGCTGCCCTATGGGATAAAAAAGGGATTCTTACCTGTTTTCTGCAGGTTGCACCACCTTGGATTGGCGTCGGGTTGCTCCATGCACAACAGGGACATCCTGCCCTACACCTTTCCCATGCCCATCCCATTGCGTTGGCCATGGCAGACTCCATCCCTGGCATCACATCCACGGATCCTGAACGGATCTTGGCCCACATCCTTACCTATAGGAAATCCCAACTCTGTTTGCTCCCACGGGTCAAATAACCCAAACCCATCCCATGATGAAGATGGCGTTGTTGGTGGGGCAGCCAACAGCATGCTCCATCGGCACCCAAAAGGTGCTGCAACGATGCTGAGCTGCCCAGTGCCCTACACCCACCTCCACCCCACTGCCATGTCCCCTCTGCACCAGCCAACGGATCCCATTGGCCAGGACATGAAGACAAATCAACCCAGTGCCCAACCCAAC